ATGTTAGTTTAGGTGCATGTGAAAAGTCATAGAGGTAGTAAAGTGACATGAAAAGCAGGACACTGTTAGTCCCTGAAGTTCTTCGCAATCATTATAAACGTTTATTTACCTTGCAGTGAACTTTCTGAAAACACCTATGGGACTTTAAGGTGCAAAAAGACCTGTATTACTACTGTAACAGTCCAAAGCAGAGCTCGTTCTAGCATAGGTGGCTTTACCTTGCAATCCTTTGCAGAGCCCCTCTAGCATTCACCCCAGTGTGTCACAGCAGTGCAGCATCATCAGGGCTCTTCAAAAGCAATTTTCTCTCTGCCCACTCACCCGCCACTTCAGTGCATGAGGCAATCACCAGCTACATGACCAGCAATCTAGCAAAGGTGCTCAATATCTTCCTTTTTAAGATACGAATGCCTACTACACAGAAGAGCTCATCCTACTGCAATATTTTTGGTATAAATGAAGGAAACTGAAAAAAAAGAAACTTGGCTCCAGCTTTAAAAACAACTGAAGTGAACTGAAGCACCTATAACAGAGCATCAAAGGTGGTGTTGTGACCTAGGTACCCAGAAGGTTGGTTGAGTTTTGGGTTAGGTCCTCTGAGTGGCAGGAGGGGGCACTTTCTTCTTGTTGAAGCAAGGATTCAAGTTTGTGTGCAAATGACATGGAGAGTGTTCTGGCACTTTGATTTTTGGAGCTTCTTTTTTGAGTCTTTATTTGGTCTAGATGTTAGTGTTCTTGCAGTTTCTTAATGCTACTAAGAAGCTATAGGGATAGTATTTCAAAGTGGAAGGCAAATTAATTACTTTTGGTCTTTAAAACCCAGCTAAAGAACAATAACTGCACAGCATTTTCTTGGTGATCGTGGGAAATACACTTGCACTGATGCAGTGCTCAAAGCCAAAACCGAGCACAACCTTCCAATGGCTGGCAGATTAAGAGGGAGAAGGTTAGAAAAAGAGGATCTGAATGGATAACTCCTCACAACGCTCAGGGTTGTGTGGGCCTTCACGAGGCTCTGAAGGAAGACAACCGGGAGAGAGAAGTAACAGCTGACAGACTAAGGCATCGCTGTAACTGAGCAAAGGCTGGCTGCTTGCTAAGCTCATGGTCGAGGACAGGGAGATGAAGGGGCAACTTTTGGAGCTCAAAAAAGAGTGGGCCACTTGCTTGCCTACGTCTTTACCCAGTCTCAGCTGTCTGCTCCTTCTCTAGGATCATGCTCGTTACACAGGTCCCAGAGAGCTGTGGACTCTGCACTGCTGCTGCTCTGCTCCTCCAGACCTGAGTTGCTGAGTCTTTTTTAAAAACCTCAAGCTCAGATGTGAGGTTTTCTGCAGCTGCATCGCAAGTCCTAACCAACAAGGAGAGTGACCAAGAAGAAAACCACACTGAAAGTATAAAGCACAAGGCCACATTTTTCCATCTGAGTGAATCTGTGTTGCCGTGAAGCTTGTTGGGTTAGCTTGTGTTATTATTTCGCATGGAACGCGTTTAGCTATCTTATACCCCAAAATGTTAACAACTTTTGACTGTGTTATACAATTAACTAAAAATTATTTTTATTTACAATTTTGGTGAAAATAAGGACTTTTTAAAAAGAGCTTGTGAGCGCTCTGTGAAGATTCAGTACTGAAAGTTGCATGAAGGAATGGCTCTCAAACATGAACATTAATTATATAGCCTCCATTCATGAAATAATGCAATACGAATCACAGAAAGTTCAATTTGTGTTTCATATTATTTTTGTCTGCTGTGTCTGGCAATGTGCTGGAAGAAAAGTATTACGTTGTGTGGGGCTCCATAGTGGCAGAAATAGCGAGAGGATGCTTACTCAAAAAGCTGAGCACTCAATTTAAAGGAAGTCCTTGCTCTGTAGAAGCAATTATTAGGACTGCAGTAGGAGGCATCTGGTCATGTAGACGCAGCGATTGTATTCATCTAATAGGTAACAGTTAATACATTGCAACTCAGTGTGAGCTAGAACTCCTTGTTGTAGACAAGCCCTTAAATATTTAAATACCCAAGTCCCTCTTATTGAAATGTCTGAGAGTCCAGCTTGGCCTCCACATGGTGACTATTGTAAATTTTCCTCATGAAACTGCATTACATTTCATCCTAATTAGCACTGCTAGCTGTAGTCTGAGTAAAGAAACATTAGATTAAAAAGTACGAGAGACTAGGCGCCCACGTCCTCTCCTAAAGGAACTAAATCAATTCCAATCCTACAGTATTCACAGAGCTGATTTAATTTGGCCTCCTTCTCTAGATGATGGCAGCAGCAGAGTATGAAGCTCTTGCCGTTATTACTTGTGTTTTACTCCAGAGTTTTATCCGTTTTGAGTGTTGTCAGGTTAGCGTTTCTTATTAGTCCCCAAGAAAAGCAAACGCTATTATAGTAGCAAAGAAATTAGAGGTTAGTCAATAAACAGCGGCTATTTGCAACAAATTAAGATGAGGAACATTTTGTTGTGGCAATAGGAATGAATGTTTCCTGCTGTGAAATTGAATTTTTTATTGAAATCAAATATACAATTAAGATATTATTATGCACAGAAAAGGTTAGAAACCTTAACATCTTTCGTCCATAAGCCAAATATTGTACTATGTTGGTATCCATGCTGTGAGTTTCCCATTACTACTCTGCCAGTAATTTCAGCCTGGCATCTAGACTAAATTGTCTCCGTAGGAGCCGAGAGGAAACATAGTTGATAGGCGATCTCAGGTATAGGCCTTTCTTGAATGAATAAAAGCGCTGTCATATTTTATGAAATTACATGTGCTGGTTATATGCTGTGATCATCTCTCAATGAGGGAGAGAGCAGAGTTCATCTAAGTTATAGCCACAGACAGGTATTCGGAAGGAGCTAGATGGGATTTTGCACGCTCTTGTAGCTTCATTCAAATGTGTTTCGGGTACCGGATGGAAACTGAAAGCAAGGTTATGATTATGACGCGTCTGCACGGTAATTTTAAAATAGGTGTTAAACAGCACTTAGGCACAGCACAAAAATTGCTGGGTGAAGATTGCCGAACAGCCTCAGAGCAGTAGAGTCTGCGAATGGAAATGAACAAATACGATAAAACGTCCATCACGCGATGGGAAAAAAGAATAAAAGCAGGTCTCTAGCGTCGTCTTCTCCGAGCAAAGTGGAGAAGGAAATCCAGTCCCCTGGCATTTGCGAGCCTCCCTCTAGGCAGCCAGCCACTGTGCTAGGTCCCATCGGCGCGCCTCGGAGGGCGCCGCGGCCAGTCACCCCAGTACCTTCAAGATCGTTCAAGGCTTTGATCAGCTCTGTCTTGCTTGAAGCCAGCTAGTCCTCGGGCGACGGGGGCTGGCTCCCCGGCCCCGCGCCCGCCCGGCCTCTTCCGTCGCACGAGGGACTTGCCGGTTCCCGGGGGGTTGTTTCCCCTTAGTCTTTCCGAGTTACAGGGGGGGCCAGCGGGAGAGGGATCCTAAATCCTCCGCTACTCGTTCCCGGTGGCCGGGAGGAGTAGGTGAGACGCGTGCCGTTAATCTAAAACCAAGCGCTTGTTGGGAACAGTTGTGTGTCTTAAGGTCTGAGATTTCCTGAGTGGCGAATTTTAAAATCTGTTGTTAGTCTGGACAAAACCATCCTTTCTGTCTCCCTTTTTCTTTTTTTTTTTTCCTTTTTTTTTGTTTTTTTTTTATTGCTGCAGGGTCTGTTGCCACCTCAGCCTGAGCTCTGTAACCGTATGCGTTTTTTCTACTCCATTCCTCATTTCCTTAAAGAGCTGATTCGTTGTGATTTATTGGGTACAAACCAAAAAGCTAAGTATTTTTCAGGATGTAAGCTGCAGTGGCTGTGGGAAGGAGTGAGGCTATAATTCTACCCCACTTTATTTTACTTAAGTATTTTCAGAGGGGAGGGGAGGACGCAGTCTTTCCATTAGGCCTCTCCTTTCTTAATCACCGTTCCCTAATTAATTCCCTGGTTAAATGTAAAGCCAGCGTTGGCTTTGAATAATGTTTTCCTGTGTGACTAAATAAGGAAGAATTCCTTTCTTTTGCATGGCGACTCATCCCCAGGGGATGTGGTGCAAGCCTGAGGGCAGATATTTGAGACTTTTGTCCCAGGTGCTCCTGTACCGTTGAGCTGCGTCCGCTGTCAGTGCAGCGGTGGGAGGCGAAGGCGATATCACCTATCACCTGCAAAGGGAGGAAGTTGTCTCTCTCGCGAAGCCACGTCGGTAGCGCGGCTTTGGTTTCTTCTAGTGGAAAACCACGAGTCTGACTCACAGAAATGGAAATCGCTAGACAAAACGTACAGTTAGGAGGAACGCAGATTGCTGTTCGTGCTAGCGCTGCGTATGTTTGTTTTTCTCTTGATAGCCACCTTTTGTTGCGTGATACGCTTTCTTCGGTGCCTAAGCGGAAGCAAAAAGGTTTCCTTCCCTTTTGCCCACCGCCTTCTCGCTCCTCTCCCTGCACCGCTTCGCAAGCCTTTGACTTCAACCAAGACAACTGCGCTTTCACTCGCGTAGTAAGCCAGATCACGGAAAGAAATGAGGTTAAAAGAGAAAGCCCCTGAATCCAAAAGGAGGATGTAGTGAAGAAGGGCATGGCAAGGAGCAGATAGGGGAGAGGAGGGCAGTGTTTAACCTGGGCGAGCATATTTCACCGCTGAGGAAATATTGTCTAACTGTACCAAAGGATAAGACTCTTTTCTACTATACTAGCTTATGGCATTAATTTTTAACTCAAAAGGAAGTTTTAATAACGATTCTGGCTTTGAATGTTGCTGATAGCTCAAGGTGAAGGGATAGCATGTGGCTTTATTAACAGGGCGGCGAGGAAAACGTACAGAATATGCTTCACAGAGACGTGGAAACGCCTGTGAATTGAATGCCTTACCAGTGAAGGTTGCAATATGTAATCTCCTGGTGTTGAAAAACAGACACTTGAAAATACCTTTGGTTTTGATAAAAAGTTCAGAAAACAGAAATCCCACTAATTTTTTTTTCTTGCGTTTGTTTTACAGGCGTTCCCCTGTATTTCAACAGGAATTTATGGTAAGTAAAGCCTTAGATGTGAGTTATTGCTTACTTATTTTTTCCTACTATTAAACAGTGATATTGC